AACCACAGGAGACATATCACTACAGATGACACCCCCACAGGTGACATATCACTACAGATGACACCCCTACTACAGATGACACACCACAGGTGACATATCACTACAGATGACACCCCTACTACAGATGACACGCCACAGGTGACATATCACTATAGATGACACAACCACAGGTGACACCCCCACAGGAGACACATCACTAGAGATGACACCCCACAGGAGACACATCACTACAGATGACACGCCACAGGTGACATATCACTACAGATGACACCCCCACAGGTGACACCCCCACAGGAGACACATCACTACAGATGACACCCCCACAGGAGACACATCACTACAGATGACACAACCACAGGAGACATATCACTACAGATGACACCCCCACAGGTGACATATCACTACAGATGACACCCCACAGGTGACATATCACTACTACAGATGACACAACCACAGGAGACACATCACTACAGATGACACCCCCACAGGTGACACATCACTACAGATGACACCCCACAGGAGACACATCACTACAGATGATACCCCACAGGTGACACATCACTACAGATGACACCCCACAGGTGACATATCACTACAGATGACACAACCACAGGAGACATATCACTACAGATGACACCCCCACAGGAGACATATCACTACAGATGACACCCCACAGGTGACATATCACTACAGATGACACAACCACAGGAGACATATCACTACAGATGACACCCCACAGGAGACACCTCACCACAGATTTCACATCCCTCCATGGAATAATTAACACAAACGTATTATCCATATTGAGTTTTTATTGCTCAAATCATATTTACAATATTTCTAAAACATGAAATATTCATGAAATATTCAAAACTTTAAAACTTTATTAAAATGTGAATGAATACAAACGCAATGTATCGCTTGGCAGTGATGTCTAAATATCTTCTCGCTGATCCTCAAACGCTGAATTTGGATCTTACCAATGCAAACCATTCCATTATGACAAGGCACTCTCCAAGAACAGGTCTCATTCACTGAGGAACAAAACAGCATGTCACAAGGCAACGGTTGCACGCCATGCCTTGAATAAAAACACTGATTAGCACAGAGCTTGTTCCACTATTCCATACACAATAAATTCATTGTTACCTTCAAACATCACTTCCTTTGATGAGTTTAAAACACAGGTACTGTTTGTTCTTAAGAATTTAAAATAGACACAAAACAAAATGCCTCCTGCTTCAAACATTTTTTGTAATATTTCGAATGAGTTGGGTCTGCACTATCACAGAGCTTCTCACACATTAATCATGTCAGGATCTGAACCCTATCCTTCTTCGAGACAGCAAATGCTTTAACCACAAGCCTACCCCATCACCCTAAAATGTAAATGAAATAATAATTCATTTCAAGTCCGAGCTTCATATTCTGGAGCTGACTAAACATACATAGAAACATTAAAGTGTAGGTTACATGGCTATAAGAATATTCATAAAAATCATAGGCGGATCCAGAGGGGGGATGCTGGGGTGTGCAAAACCCCTTTTGTACTGAAATTTTACAGTCCAAGTAAACTTAGGCTCAGTATTATTCGTTACACTGCTTATACCGAGTCTAACAAACCCTAGTAGAAGGTCAGCTAACCTTCAGACCAATCAGAACACAGCTAACCAAATCGTGAAAGTTGACATTTTGCACCCGAACGATTCCGAATGCTAATTTCCGTATGATCACTTCTGAGTGATGCACATGAAGCACGCCACAACAGTGAGTAAACAGTCGCTGATAATAGTGTTTTTGTCAATATTCAAGGATGTCAGCTTGCATAAAATATTAGCTAATGGTAACCATGTCATCAGAAAGCCCTAAGCATATATACTGCAGGTCAAATATCTGTGTTTTATGTGGATTTTGGTTTGTTGAGAGATCAGTGTCAGTGACTAGGGAATTTTGTAAATCTCGCCGAACCCTAAACAGCAGCCCTTGTCTGATTGGTTAAATCTGTCTCGCATTTGATTGGACGCTCAAAGGTTAGCTCAAAGGTTAGCTGCGACCTTCTACTAGGTTTTGTTAGACTCAGTATAGCAGTGTAATGAATAATACTGAGCCTAAGTTCACTTAGACTGTGAAATTTTATTACATGACCATTGAAACTCTCATGAAATGGAAGAAAATGAACTGTGCACCCCCCTTTCTTAAAAAGCTGTATCCGCCAATGTAAAAATCATATGCCTGAGAACATGGTATTTCCCGTACACTTATCAAAGAAATAGAACGAAGGGGCAAGGAGACCTTTGTATCATGTTGCATTAAAGGTCCACATAAACCCTAGGGGGTAAAAATACATAAATCACTAACTGGCATCGTTATAAATGAAACCCCGTCATTAAAACTATTCATTTCGACCTTTAATTGACTTAAAATCGACCTTTTGACAACAGTGCACAATTCTCACCCATGAGCGAAATTTCAACCAATCAGGCTGGTAGCGACTCTGTGGCGTCATATGAGGAATAGCTTTGAGGGCCGATGCAGAATTCATCTACCATTTTAGGGGTTAAATTATCTTGTTTACAGGCTTGTATAAACCTGAAATCGTGACAATTATTTGTTGTGGAAAATGAAAGCTATATATGTTCTCACAATCTACTGGCATTTAATTTTTGTCTCATGCTTTGCCTTCTGGTTTCGAGTTACAACTTGTTTTCATAGGCGGCTTCTGTCTGAATTGATTGGTGTCGTTAGGAATTTTATTCAGTATAATGACTGATCCAAATTGATCCCATTTCTGTGTTTTTTTACCTCGATATTTAATCATGTCATGTAAAAAATCTGTTTGTATTCCCAAAACAGTGTCGGCCCATAAGTTTTCACATGCAATACAGCAATTAATACTCCCTTGTTGTAACCTCGTGTTAGGTGGTATAAACCTACACATGTTATTTGTCATCATTCACTTGATGGTCAGTTAATGAATTTATAACAGGTATAATTAGTGGTAACACACTTAGATTACCCGACAAAGGTTCCCATTTGGCATTTCTTGTGTCTGGAGTAAATATTCAACATTATAAACATCGTTCAAAGGATTAACCGATAACACGCTGATTATTTAATTACTTTTATCTTACACAGCGGAATTGTCAAAAGGTAGTGTTTATGTATGTAGATTTACTAATCTATACTGAATACACTCTGCGTTCACGTTGTCTGCGTAAAACAAACGTCCTTCTTTCCAAAGGATTAACCGGCAATACATTGATTGATTGCCCATTATTGGCTAACTAAATTACTGTTTTAATGAAGGCGGACATTATGCAATTAGTTGCCAGGTGTGCTATCTTGGGTGACCAATGAGACTATACACCAATACCTGAAAAGATTTATCACTTTTTCATTATATTAAACTGTTAAAAGACACATCATTTGGAACAGTTTTGTGGATATTGATGGATACATCCCTCAAACAAGGTAATGGCCTGATATTGTTCCTATAACTTTAATCTGTTTTAATTTTAATCTTTGCATTTTGTTTTTTATTCATTTGTGGTAGCATTCAACAGAATCATTGTTTTAGCCGTGAAGTGTAATAGGACAGACAACATACACTAGGGTGTGTGTGCAATTATGATTCACATTGGCAAACTATAAAATGTCTAGATATTACAGTTCTGTTATAAATTCACTATAAGTATCAGCAGATCGTCAGCTTTTTATTTAGTTTCAAAATGCATAAAAGTATGATAATAAACTAATTAGGATTATAAGACCAAATATAAAGACGCACATTGACTAGTATCTACATACTGGTGAGTGGACATTAACCATGTGAATGTAGCAAGAAATTTATCGGCGCAGTATTGTATCTTCCGACCCCCACCTCGCTTCCGTGGAAGAAATCGATTATGTTATAAGTTGTGTCATGCAAAATCCTTTTGGTTATGATTCCAATACATATTTAACTCACGAGTAGAAAGTAGTTTTGATTTTCTAACTTGATGAAAACAAACTATAATCTCATTAATTTCAACAGACTTCACGATTTTTCAAAATGGCGGGTGCCCCATCGGGAACATCCGCCAGTCTGTGGATAAATGCTATTTAGGTTTGTTTTTCACCGAGTTACAAAATCAAAACTACTTTCTACTGGTAGTAAAATATGTATTTTATTGATGGCCAATAGGATTTTATGACATAGCGTATAACATAACAATTTCCCTCCTGGCAGCGAATGGGTGTCAATATAATACTACTTACAATATTATTGTTACTTTCACCACAACCTCACTTCCGAGGAAGAAATCGTTATGTTACAAGTTGTGTTATGGAAAATCTTTATGGTCATCAATCATATACATATTTTACTATAACTAGTAAGTAGTTTTGATTCTTTTAACTTCCGGAAGCGATCTGAACACAAGTAAGATATCATTTCAGGCTTCCACAACTTAGGTAAAGTCACACCATGTCTTATATCATTTTTGAAAAAACATAAATCACACCACAAAATGTTAACACACAAAAAAACACACAAAAAATCCTGAAATCTCGTGTTTAACAAACAACTAAGTTGATGTCTCATATAAATCTGTAACTCATGTTTATCGCTTCTAAATGCCCTCTTAAGAACTGAGTTGAGTTTTATGCCGCTTTTAGCAATATTCCATCAATATCACGTTGGGAGACACCAGAAATGGGCTTCACACATTCTACCCATGTGGGGAATCGAACCTGGGTCTTCAGCATGACGAGTGAACGCTTTAACCACTAGGCTACACCACGGCCCCTTCAAAGAATTGAGAGATAAACTGTTCTTGCAAAACGTGATCAAGTATATAATTTCACTTCAGTTTGTTTTTCCTCCTTGAATCCCCACTGTATCATTTACAATATATACCCTGGACTTAACCATAATTTTGTTATTAAGCCAGTTTGTATGACACAACACTTGAAATAACCACCTAATTGAATGACATTTAGTAAATGTTTACAGTTTTTTGGGTTCCTTACCAACAAACGCTAAAACCATTTCTGTATGTGGGAGTACTCTTTTTACATAAATTCGTAAAATTCCAGGAATTTTCAATACTCTCCCTCCCAAATCCATGGCAGTGCACACAACCTAACAAATTCTACGCCATTGTATACATAGTAAACAGCAGTGGCTCTAGCTAGTAACTCCAACAGATATTATACAGATACAAAATTCATATTCACATTGTTTTCAAAGAATAAAAAGAAATTTAACATGAGATATTCAAGGCCTTTTAAAAGACAATACACACTTTCAAGGCAGACTCTTATTTTAAGGCCCTATTCAAGAAACATCTCCTATTTTCAAGACAAAATCTCAATTCAAGGCCCTCTTCAAGAAGCATTAATCATTTTCAAGGCAGGTTTTCAATTTCAGGTCATTTTAAAAAAACATCACCCATTTTCATGGCAGAATTTCAATCCCCGGCCCTTTCCAAAGCATATAACCTATTTTCAAGATAGAAATCCAAAGCCTCAAATCTGCGTGAACCATGCACTAACCAAATCAGACCATGATGGATGGCAAATCTTTGGCCAACTTTCTACAATTCCTCGGATCAGAATATACATACTCCAACTTATCCCAAAGTAGATAGATATATATGAATTTAACTCTACTTTCACCAACCACACAAATGGTTCTTTTTCAACCCAAGGGCAAATGTAAAACTGTGACGTTTCTCAACAACTAGACAAAGGGTAGGACAAGAAATGGAGCACTTTATAATTGGACAGGTAAATGATAAAGAATGATTTGATCATCGTTCTTTTTAGCCCAAACCCAGTGTCAGGTAGATGTGATTCCTGCTGGTAAGCAATGTTCCAGCTATTTCAAGGCCATCTGTGACGAAACAATTCAGTAAGTAAGTAAGCGAGTTGAGTTTTACGCCACTTTTAGCAATATTCCAGCAACATCACGGCAGGGGACACCAGAAATGGGCTTCACACATTGTACCCATGTGGGGAATCGAACCCGGGTCTTCGGTGTGACAAGCGCACGCTTTAATCACTACGCTACCCCACCGCTCCGGAAACAATTCAGGCACGTGGGCAGATGAATATCCATACTTTTAGGGCACAGTGACATGAAATCATCAAAGCGTCATATTGGAGCCGTCCAGTTTTCAGTACCCTTATGACAGTCTGCCATTTTAGCCAACTGTTTGAGGCCAAGCTAATAATCATGATAATAATCTTACGGAGATGCAAATCAGTTCCAAGATGTATACAGATTCATAAAAATACCGAAATCAGATGTGAGATATCTGGAAGATCCATTTTGACGAAACAAACTTTCATAGGAAGCAAACACTTCAGAAGTTTGTCAAAGTATATAGTCATTCCATGTGATAAACATCTTGCAAACTATCTTTTCTATATTGCAAATCGATCATCTCCCCGAAGTCGCCGAGCTAGCCACATGTCCTTGGGCATGATAGTCACGCGCTTGGCATGGATGGAGCACATTAGAGAATCCTCGAACAGGTACACTAGGTATGCCTCGGCTGCCTGGAAACAACAACACAATTGTAAATGGCATTTCAGAATGCGTTCATGGATTTATGTGGAGTGAGTGAGTGAGTATATGGTTTTACGCCACTTTTAGCAATATTCCAAAAATATCACAGTGGGGGACACCAGAAATGGGCTCCACACATTGTACCCAAGTGGGGAATCGAACCCGGGTCTTTGGCGTGGCGAGGGAACACTAGGTTATCCCTGCAGACACTGTCATGAGTGAGTGAGTGATTTATTTTTTACACCGCACTCAGCAATATTCCAGCTATATGACGGCGGTCTGTAAATCATCGAGTCTGGACCAGACAATCCAGTGATCAACAGCATGAGCATCGATCTGCGCAATTGGGACACAATGACGTGTCAACCAAGTCAGCAAGCCTGACCACCCAATCCCGTTAGTGGCCTCTTACGACAAGCATGGGTTACCTAAGATCAATATTCTAACCCGGAGCTTCACAGGTATGACACTGTCATGAATTACAATTGATCAATTCATGCAGTTTTAGTCTACTAGTTTTAACCAATGGTACAGCTTTGAGGAGCCGACTTGTATTTGACTAATTTGAGAAAATAAAGGCTCTAACATCAAACATTTTACCACAAATGTTTGCTAACATTAAAGTTCTTTTGTTCTTTCCATTTCAAACTCATTCACCAATGGCATTCTGTTCATTTAATATGCTCCAAATAATAAGGCTGGTTATCGATATGGATCACGGAGATGAATAATTGTTAACTAGATATTGATCGATTATTGATTAATATCATAGAAAATGAAGCATACAAATTCTGTTGTATGCTTAAGAATATTACATAAGGTTGTTTGTTATTAAAATGATGTCCTGGAAAGTTACCTCTTGTAGAGCCATAATTGCTGTGGCCTGCCAGTTGAGGGGTTCTCTGTATATATTGCTGGCAATCTCTCGGACCTGTACACACAGAAGAGTTACACATGAACATACAAACATTTGCCAGGTTGTATGTTTCAAACTTGAGAAATGACTTAAGGATAACAGCTGATTTGAATTCAATAAGAGTATTGAATTTTTACCCATCCTCAATAAATTCAGATCTTTCTCTCTGCCTTGATGAGGGGTCTTGGGGTAGCCTAGTGGCTGAAGTGTTTGCTCGTCATGCCGAAGACCCGGGTTTGATTCCCAAGATGGGTACAATGTGTGAGGCCCATTTCCGGTGCTCCAGATAACACAATTACTACTCCCTTCTCCCTTGATGCTAGGCTATGTACAACATTAGGTACTAATTATTGTTGGCAGCACTCGGATTACCTAGACCGAGTAAAATAACCGAGTAAAATTAACCGCACCTCTGAGGGTGTCAATGAAGGTGTCAAATATTTATCAGTGGTTCGCAATTGGCATTTCTCATGTCTGATGTAATCACTAAATCTAAGATTGGGTTATAAAAAGGTTTTATGTGGTGAATTTATTAAATGTTATAGAATATGTACATTGCAGCTCAGCCAGAGAGTGAGTGTAGTTTTACGCCGCTTTTAGCAATATTCAAGCAATATCACGGCGGGGGACACCAGAAATGGGATTCACACATTGTACCCATGTGGGGAATCGAACCCGGGTCTTCGGCGTGACGAGTGAACGCTTTAACCACTAGGCTGCCCCACCGCCCCTGCTCAGCCAGAGAAGAATTGCCACTCGAGTTGCAAAAAACATTCACCATAGGATTAACAATAATATTTTAGGTAGGTTTACTATTGTAGGCTTAATATAGCAAACAGTATTCTCCCAGATCTAGACACCTACGTAAAAACAACATACTTAATTCAAAGGATTAGCAGATAATACATTTATCAATTGATCATTGTTGTCTGACTAAATTGGGTTTTTATAAGAACTATAGATAGCATGAACACAGATTTCATGTGTGCTATATCAGCTGACCATTGAGACATGACACTGATGTCCAAAGACGTTGTACTGTCCCGAAACACTTTAGATTGCTACAAAGACACATACATTCTTTGTACAACTCAAGATGTATGTGATCTTGTTCCTATATTGTGGTTAGTGATGGACGTATTTCTCAAAACTGATAAAAACTGTTCTATACATAACGATTATCTGGCAATAACTATAAAGTATTCCAAAGGGCTATTAGTTTTTATAAATATATAGTGAAAGCTGCAACCAAGATAACTCGATATTGGAATATATAATGTATGATAAGATACCACTTTCATTCAATCATTGCTACAAAATTCTTTAAAGTTATATTATTGGGTATTTTTAAAACAAATCAGGGGTAGAGTTGTAAAATATGTTTGCACAGTTGATTAGGGCTGTGTAATATTACCAGAAAACCAGTATATACCAGTACAGTATCTCAGGATACGAATATTGCATTATTGTTCAGATTCTGCAATATATTGCGTCATCCAGAGTTAGCACCCTTTGAATTCTCTGCGCTTGATTTCCACAGCATCAAAATGTGCTCTGAAAGTGCCAAATATACTTTCGCAAAACTTTGTTGCAATAGTTCAATTAAACATTTCACATTATGGCTCTACAGAGGCCCAGATAAGCTGCGTATCCGGGTAAAATACGCATAGAAAATGTCCAATTACGCACTGAAAATTAATTGTTGCGTACCAATTACGCATCTAAAATGTTAGATACGCAAAATGTTTAAAACAAATGCGTACGGAATATATTTATAAAAATGAAAAAGACATCGATTGCTATCAAGTTGTACTGTTTTTATAGGACAAGTGTTGTACTTTCAGTATTGGATGAGTGATTTTTTATGAAATCATTTCCATTATATTTAACTTGGTTTTGATTAGGTATGACATAAGGCAGAACATACCTGCTAAGTAAACTTACTCAATGACATAATACTTAGGTGAGTAATATGACTGAAATACGCAATGGTGTACATACAGCAAATAAGAAGATGATGTCACACAGAGAGCTATGATGTACACAGTTGGGTAGAAACCTTCCAGTCAATACATCACAATATATATCCATCCGAGTGAGTGAGTGAGTTCAGTTTTACGCCACACCCCGCAATATTCCAGCTATGGTGGCATTGTGTAAATAATCAAATCTGGACCAGACAATCCATTGATCAACAGCATGAACATCAATCTATGCAACTGGGATACGATGACGTGTCAACCAAGTCAGCGAGCCTGACCACACGTTCCCATTAATCGCCTTTTACGACTCACCACCCGAGAGAAGGGCAACTTCCTAATGAGTAGATCTGTCGACTTCTGGAACTTTCTTATTTCCATCAGAGCCTTCGTGCCTGGCCTGTATCGTCGCTTTCGAGGGCTCTGTGGACTCCTGTGGTCTCCCTTTTTTCGACGGCCTGTTGAAAAAAAATAAAATAACACACCAGTTTAAAAGTTTGATGCTGGATAAAAATCTTAATCCCCCCCAGGGTGGGTTAATGGCCCTGCATTTTCTCCATCCAAAGAAATCAACTTATTTTAATTCTCAATATTTTAGATGAGAACTATGACAATTAGCAAAAAAACTACTATCCTATTTCACCGAATCTATTCTGACCACAAGATTCTTTCCAGACTATGAACTTTTGAAAATTCATTTGTCGTTTCTTGCTTGAACACTCAAGGATATTGTTCAAATTACATGAAAACATATGGAATGGAACTAAATAGTTAGTAATTCAGTGACCTGGTTGAATATGTCACAGGACATTGCTTACATTAACTACTGGTCTATCTGGTCCATATTTACAGGGTGCTGTGGCACTAGAACCATCAATAACTAGTCTAATACCAATCGGATCGGTACTATAATGGTACCACTCATTGTTTTCAGTCTCTACCTAGTCTGTACTCATGTTGCAACGGTGTCATAGAAAACATCCCATTGGGAAAGTTTCACAAACCATCATCGTCCCCCCGGAGTCCGTCGAGCAGGCGATGGTTGTTTTCTCTTTCTGGAGGAATTGTGGCTTACTCTAGGCATGTTGTCTGTCTCATGTTCTTGACAGCACCATTTGAATGAACCGCTTCCGGTTATTTGGGAAATTAAAAAGTTAGATTGACATTGAAACGAACAATATCTCTTTAGAAACATCGAATTCCTGAAGCTTAACTATGAATGAAAAAATGCAGTAACTTATGGGTTGTATTTCTTAAATGCATTCTTAACGAATATATGTCATGATTAGTTTTATTACATATCGTAACTAGAACAGGGTAAGGAGTATGTACTCAAATTATTGGTAAAAATGGTGGTATGCTTTAAGTCCCAGGAAGAACCCGAGTTCAATACTTGAGTCTGAATCTTTGTCCAGGAACCAAAATGCACATTTTAATATGTTTGCTTTTTTTTCACCTATGGTTTCTAATATTGCATTTATTTCATTAGTTATCTCCCTTAGACTAACCAACGTCCCCACAAGAGCAAGAAATATCTCCTGAAGTTTCGTAAAATATATCTCGTAACGCCGGTCTCGAGCTTAAATTACAACCAATGCAGTTTCTCCTCCAGTTGTTCCCACAGTCCCTCGTGTCCCTGCGAGGATTATATACTCATGCCAATAATGGTTGTCACCCCTCCCCACCCCAACCCCCACACACCTCCAATTGCGAAAAATTATACAACCATTCTTGAAATATATAGATTCTTAAAAGTATATAAACTTTGAGATGACCCCCGGCTCAAAATGCTTCACTGTACAATACATCCTGAGAAGGTGATTATGTATTGTACTGTGAAGCATTTCGAGTCGGGTGTCATCTCAAATTTTTATATATATCTTTAATAATCTTTAATCCTCGCAGAGACACGAGGGCCTGTGGTTGTTCCGTCCTGAAGCGGATTCGACACGGAATAGAGCTGGCTTGGCTTTTCAAAGGGAAAGAAATCATTTTTTATTAAAAAAAGTGAGAGAACTGGGCTGAACTACACTTGGAACAGTAGTTAGCAAGTGTTATAACACCTTAATGGCGGAAGAACGCCCAGAGTAACGCAAGTGATTGTATGGCACCGGGGGCGGTGGTGTAGCCACCGGTTAAAGCGTTGGCTCGTCACGCCGAAGACCCGGGTTCGAATCCCCACATGGGTACAATGTGTGAAGCCCATTTCTGGTGTCCCCCGCCGTGATGTTGCTGGAATATTGCTAAAAGCGGCGTAAAACCAAACTCAGTCAGTCAGTCAGTTGTATGGCACCGACTCACCAAGAGTCAGAATCAGGACAAATGTGGAGATCGAACCCACAACCACCGGATTCTGGTGGCCAAGGGAGACAACTACGTTGGTTGATTGTTTAACGCCGCACTCAGCAATATTCCAGCTGTATGGCGGCGGTCTGTAAATAATCGAATCTGGACCAGACAATCCAGTGATCAACAACATGAACATCGATCTACGCAATTGGGATACGATGACATGTGTCAACCAAGTCAGCGAGCCTGACCACCCGATCCCGTTAGTCGCCTCTTACGACAAGCATGGGTTTAGTACTAATTGTATATAAGCGTTTATTATCAAATGTGAATTGATTTCTAACTGATATTGCATAATAAAAAAGGTGTACAGATTTATCATATTTATACTAGCTGAAGGTAGTAGAGAGACACGTTTGTTACTATTTGGATTAACATAAAACTGACAGTGGAAATGTGAACATCTAAGATTATCACATTTACAGACAGACAGATAGACAGATTACTGATATCTTACTCTGCGAATTACTCATTTTAAGAATTACTCATTACAATAAAATAAAAAACCCGAATGCCCTGTGTTCTTAACTAAATATTCTTCACTTAAAATCCCAAAACAAAGTTGAATGGTACAATATTCTGATTGGCCATTAGGACATTAACAATGGGTCTGATATAAAGGCAATCTAATACTACGCTGGTGTGAACAAGCACACGCCCTACCATGTTTAAGAGGAAATCCGCCATGTAATCGTTTTCTCGCTCGGACTTGGCTGTGGTCCTGTGAAGACTTGCGATTAGTCTCTGAAATATAGACATATAATTTTGATACAACAAATAACTCTGTTCATTAAAGAGACCCTGAACCTAAGGAAACTCTAGACTAGCTCCATTTTGGGGTTTTGCATTGCAGAACGAGCCAGGCGGAAGGGAAAATGATATGGAAGACAGAAGTTGGCGCCGAATGTACGAAGCGGTTGTAAAATATTCCAGAAGTCGGCGAGACTGAACGATAAACTGTCACCATAACACACCAGTACATACTTTTCTCAAGTTTTAGAGAGAGTGAGTTTAGTTTTAAGCCGCTTTTAGCAATATTCCAGCAATATCAGGGAGCGGGACACCAGAAATGGGCTTCACACATTGTGCCCATGTGGGGAATCAAACCCTGGTCCTCGGCGTAACGAGCAAACGCCTTATTATATAGGCTACCCCACCGCCCCTCAAGTTTTAGACATAATAACTGAAATTGTATAAGTAAAAGAATAGAAGAAAAACATCAACATTGGTTAATCACTGTTTGCGAACAAGATAAACAAATGTTGAAAGTAACACTTTGAATGTTTGAGTATTCTTCTGAGCCAAAAGTGGTATTATGATGGACTATGCGAGTTGACTCAGTTCTGCCGACTGAGGATACGAATCCAAAATATTTTTGATTATTAACCGTTGTTCTTTGAACCGTGAACCAGATACATGTTTGTTAGTTTAGCTACAACTGTCTACAACTTACATCACTTTAACCCTTTATTAGTAAGTAAAGTGACAATCGGCGATATCACTACTATGCATTTGACCCGTGAAGATCCGGGTTAGAATTGATCTTCAGCAAACCATACTTGTCGTAAGAGCGACTAACGGGATTGGCTCGTTGACTTGGTTGACACATGTCTTCGTGTTTCAGTTACATAGATCGATGCTCATGATGTCAGTCACTGGATTGTCTGGTCCAGACTCGATTATTTACAGACTGCAGCCATATCTGTCAGACTGTCGCCGTGTGCCGCTTTAAACAGCCATAAATAAGCAAACTATGTATTTGAAGTGGCGCCAAACCCTTCTCACTTAACGAACTATATACGGTATTTGGATTTAAAATAATGACACGGGTATGAAATGAATAGTGATCAAATGGATATCAACTGGTGAATCTAACACAACAATCCCAACCCTGCAGACTGTGTGTCCTCATGTTCCGGTAGGATGCCGCAGCTCTCACTATCAACCACTGGTTGGTTGGTTGGTATGGCCAGTGTTGATTACCTTACAGGCCGTAACATTTCATGAGCGTAATGTCGCCTTGATTCACTCTCAAGCTCTGAATATATTCATTCAAGTTGCATTTGTTATAAAGGTAGATAATGAGTGAGTGAATTTAGGTTTACGCCGCACTCAGCAATATTCCAGCTATATGGCGGCGGTCTGTAAATAATCGAGTCTGGACCAGACAATCCAGTGATCATGAGCATCGATCTGCGCAATTGGGAACCGATGACATGTGTCAACCAAGTCAGTGAGCCTGACCGCCCGATAGTCGCCTCTTACGACAAGCATGGATTACTGAAGCAAGAGTGCATCTCGCACAATGTACGAGTGAGGTGTTGTGTTACGGAGTGAGTGAATATTGTTTAACGCCGCAATGAGAGATTGTCAGGTTATATCACAGTGAGATGTAAGTAGTGATATGTGGACCAGACAACCATTAGCTGAAGCCACGAGCAACACACTCCGATCTCGTTACGGCCATACACTATTTGGTCGGCTCTGCGAACAATTCACACCATTTGGTCGGCTCTGTGAACAATTCACACTGTTTAGTCGGCTCTGCGAACAAGTCACACTATTTATAAACTCTGTCAAAAGAAACGCAACCCCTGTATTTTAGAGATTTTGATCTGAAGTTTTAGGACGACACGGCATTTTTATTATTTAAGACAGAAGTCTGAAATTTGGCAGAATAATAGCAGATGGGCATGTTTAAAATTGTCATTTCAAAGTCATCTCACAGACACCAGTTTGTCACCAGGGGCGTCTTTCTCAGTATCTCGTATGAGCACCACGCGCTGCAATCACTGCACGGCATCTCCTTGGACAAGAACGGATAAGACGCCGGATTCTTTCCTGGGGAATGGCTCTCCACTCCTCCTGCAGTGCAACGGCGAGCTGTTGCAGCGTCTGTGGCGGCGGCTGACGTTGACGTACGCGTCGATCAGAGTATCCCACAGGTGTTCAATAGGGTTGAGGTCTGGTGATTTAGAGGGTCATGGCAAGACATTGACGTTGGAATTCTGCAGAAAGTTCATTGTTGCACGTGCAGTATGAGGCCGGGCGTTGTCCGTTGAAAAATCTGTGTCTGTTGGTCAATAATCGGGAGAAGGTGAAGCTCTAACACGTGGTTGATGTAACGTTGGGCTGTCAGGTTCCCTGGAACGATCACCAAGTCTGATTTCTGGTTGTATGAGATGGTTCCCCAAACCATGACGCTTTCTCCGCCAAATCTGTCCACCTGTCGGACGCAGATGGGCGCAAAACGTTATGACGTCTCCTATACAGACGCTGTCTTCCGTCGTGACGTTGCAAAGAAAACGTGATTCATCAGAAAACCAGATTCGCCTCCAGTTTTGTAAAGTCCGTATCCTTACGTTGTTGCACCACCTGAGTCGTCGGCGTCGATGTAGGGGGCGTAGTACAGGTCCAACAACTGGTCTACAGGCACGTAAACCCGCTTCTTTCAGACGGTTCCTAATCGTTTGAGCTGACACTCTCCTCAAACCTGGTATTTGTGTGGCAGTCACGGTTGGTAGGGCATGCCGATTACGCAGGTGATGGACCCGGATGTACCGATCTTGAAGGGGGGTCGTGATTCTTGGCCTTCCACTTCTCGGGC